ATTGCCTTGCAAGCTCGTCTGCATTGGCATCTGCCTGACAACCATCCACCATATACGGGTACGATATTCTCTCCTCCCTTGAACCAAACAGCTGCAAACCTGGTTTCAGCTACAGTTTATTCTACGGTATGTTGCTTCCCTTGTTTTACTGCTTTGGTTGGCAAGTCTCTAGGACTTGATCATTACTGCTACCATGCATTTTATAAAACCAGAAGTTCTATTTCCATTATGCCAAAAAAAACTCTTTACAACACAGCCTTTTGCCTAAGGCAAAGGACGTGAATGTGTCTTGTCGACCAACAATACAGTTTGGGAATGCACCCATTCCAGCAAGGAATAACAGCCATCCCAGCAAGGAATAACAGCCATCCCAATCCTCCCAAATCAGCCCATCCACGCACACGAACACGACACGGGGGAGGAAGAACTGGGACTCCCAGCCTGGGGACTGGGATGACGGCAGAGTGAGGGAGAGAAGCGTGAGTCTGCGCGTCATCAGCTACTGCTGGGGGGCTGGTTGGTCCGGGAAGGAGAGGCGCTTCATGTGCTTCTCATGGGGGTACTTGAGCTGGGTGGCGAGCCCTGCAGCCTCGAGCAGCTTGATGGTGTACCACGTCATGTCCACCTGGTGATTCTCCAGCCCATGCCGGCACGAGTACTGGAACGCGTGGTGGTTGTTGTGCCACCCCTCGCCAAACGCCAGCAGCCCCACCCACCTGTCGTGCAGGCAATAGGAGGGATAGGAGGGAAGGAAGAGTGAGCCAACGGGACGTTAGGGGGAAGAGAGCAATGTGACGTTTCCATGTAGACAGACTCGAGTGCTAACTAGAACCAGGAGCATGTGCCATCCAAGCTGGGTAACACAACTCCCTCGGAGTCCTGCTGAATCTTACCACCCCCCAGACCCGCTCACCCAGATCCGACTAAAGGCTAGCCAACAGGCTAAGTGCTGAAGGCGTGAGCACACTCTGCTGCACATGCTCTTGCATCTGCCACAATAGAGACACTTGACACACAGTCTTGACCCACTGAGCGACTGAGCTGAAGCTTAAGGTGCATAGGCCTCAGCTCACTTAACTGCCTTCCCAACAAGCCCTTAACGAATCTTCACAGGCCATATTGACTGTAGGTTGGGGGGAGGGAGTTGTCGAAAGAGACATTGCAAGGCCTACCAGTTGTTTCGCGAAAGGTCGCCAGTGTTCCAGATTGGTAGCCCCACACGTGCGACGCGGAGTTGACGAACCATGTGATGTGGTACACCCACACGGCGCGCACGCCCTGAGAGAGACAGACGTGGACAACAAAAGGAGAATAATACACCGTTATAGCAACGAAATTTCGACCATTAGTTGCCTTTGGAAGACCTGATAAAGGACTGAAGAGAACCCAAGGAAGAAAGGATGAATCAAAGCTGCAAAAAAATTGAAGGACAGTTACTAACCCCATACGACCCAAAGGATGAGCCAAGGTTGCACAAAGACTCGACTCGAAGGACAAGGCCAGCTCGCAAAAGATTCACGGAGCACTTACGAAGCCCCAGACGACCCAGGGGAAGCCTCCGAGGGCGTAGAGCAGCAGCACGGACGCCACGATGTGCCACACGTAGGTGGCCTCGATGAAGTTGTAGAAGGGATCGTTCTCCATGTCCGCGATGTTGTTGCGCACACCCACCTGGAGTTTCACGTGGTGCAGTACGGTACAGTGCAGAAAAAAAAAAACACACGGTAAGGAGTCGTCCCTCACTCTACACATGTTTTTCTTTTTACATCCTGCTACATTTGACGTCCATTTTCCGTTCCAGGTTCAACTGCTTCCAAGTTTAAGGTGCGATGTTACGCAAAGGTGAGCTACGCGACAGGGCACACTTAAGAATAATCTTACCCGTTCTTGCGTGGCGACGTCGTCGAGAAGCCACCCCATGTGGCTGTGCCAGAAGCCCTCGTACGGCGTGTGCGGGTCGGCAGGCGTGTCGCAGAAGCGATGGTGATAGCGGTGAGCGCTCACCCACTCCTTGGGGTCGCCCTGCGGGAAGCAACGTGAGACACAAACAGGACGGGGTTCGGACGCCGGACGAGGGACGGTATGGAAGAGAATGATTGTGGAAATGCAAGTTTTCCACAGGAGCGTCACAGGAGAATTGGATAAAAGTAACGCGAACACGACTGAGTGAAAGGGACGAACAACGCGCGAAGACAAAGATCAGTGAGCAAAGAGTGAGCAGCGACGTCCGACGTCGCTGCTCACTCTTTGCTCACTGATCTTTGTCTTCGCGCGTTGTTCGTCCCTTTCACTCAGTCGTGTTCGCGTTACTTTTATCCAATTCTCCTGTGACGCTCCTGTGGAAAACTTGCATTTCCACAATTTCTCTCTCATTCCACCGTCCCTCGTCCGGCGTCCGAACCCCGTCCTGTTTGTGTCTCACGTTGCTTCCCGCAGGGCGACCCCAAGGAGTGGGTGAGCGCTCACCGCTATCACCATCGCTTCTGCGACACGCCTGCCGACCCGCACACGCCGTACGAGGGCTTCTGGCACAGCCACATGGGGTGGCTTCTCGACGACGTCGCCACGCAAGAACGGGTAAGATTATTCTTAAGTGTGCCCTGTCGCGTAGCTCACCTTTGCGTAACATCGCACCTTAAACTTGGAAGCAGTTGAACCTGGAACGGAAAATGGACGTCAAATGTAGCAGGATGTAAAAAGAAAAACATGTGTAGAGTGAGGGACGACTCCTTACCGTGTGTTTTTTTTTTTCTGCACTGTACCGTACTGCACCACGTGAAACTCCAGGTGGGTGTGCGCAACAACATCGCGGACATGGAGAACGATCCCTTCTACAACTTCATCGAGGCCACCTACGTGTGGCACATCGTGGCGTCCGTGCTGCTGCTCTACGCCCTCGGAGGCTTCCCCTGGGTCGTCTGGGGCTTCGTAAGTGCTCCGTGAATCTTTTGCGAGCTGGCCTTGTCCTTCGAGTCGAGTCTTTGTGCAACCTTGGCTCATCCTTTGGGTCGTATGGGGTTAGTAACTGTCCTTCAATTTTTTTGCAGCTTTGATTCATCCTTTCTTCCTTGGGTTCTCTTCAGTCCTTTATCAGGTCTTCCAAAGGCAACTAATGGTCGAAATTTCGTTGCTATAACGGTTGTATTATTCTCCTTTTGTTGTCCACGTCTGTCTCTCTCAGGGCGTGCGCGCCGTGTGGGTGTACCACATCACATGGTTCGTCAACTCCGCGTCGCACGTGTGGGGCTACCAATCCTGGAACACTGGCGACCTTTCGCGAAACAACTGGTAGGCCTTGCAATGTCTCTTTCGACAACTCCCTCCCCCCAACCTACAGTCAATATGGCCTGTGAAGATTCGTTAAGGGCTTGTTGGGAAGGCAGTTAAGTGAGCTGAGGCCTATGCACCTTAAGCTTCAGCTCAGTCGCTCAGTGGGTCAAGACTGTGTGTCAAGTGTCTCTATTGTGGCAGATGCAAGAGCATGTGCAGCAGAGTGTGCTCACGCCTTCAGCACTTAGCCTGTTGGCTAGCCTTTAGTCGGATCTGGGTGAGCGGGTCTGGGGGGTGGTAAGATTCAGCAGGACTCCGAGGGAGTTGTGTTACCCAGCTTGGATGGCACATGCTCCTGGTTCTAGTTAGCACTCGAGTCTGTCTACATGGAAACGTCACATTGCTCTCTTCCCCCTAACGTCCCGTTGGCTCACTCTTCCTTCCCTCCTATCCCTCCTATTGCCTGCACGACAGGTGGGTGGGGCTGCTGGCGTTTGGCGAGGGGTGGCACAACAACCACCACGCGTTCCAGTACTCGTGCCGGCATGGGCTGGAGAATCACCAGGTGGACATGACGTGGTACACCATCAAGCTGCTCGAGGCTGCAGGGCTCGCCACCCAGCTCAAGTACGCCCCATGAGAAGCACATGAAGCGCCTCTCCTTCCCGGACCAACCAGCCCCCCAGCAGTAGCTGATGACGCAGACTCACGCTTCTCTCCCTCACTCTGCCGTCATCCCAGTCCCCAGGCTGGAGTCCCAGTTCTTCCTCCCCCGTGTCGTGTTCGTGTGCGTGGATGGGCTGATTTGGGAGGATTGGGATGGCTGTTATTCCTTGCTGGGATGGCTGTTATTCCTTGCTGGAATGGGTGCATTCCCAAACTGTATTGTTGGTCGACAAGACACATTCACGTCCTTTGCCTTAGGCAAAAGGCTGTGTTGTAAAGAGTTTTTTTTGCATAATGGAAATAGAACTTCTGGTTTTATAAAATGCATGGTAGCAGTAATGATCAAGTCCTAGAGACTTGCCAACCAAAGCAGTAAAACAAGGGAAGCAACATACCGTAGAATAAACTGTAGCTGAAACCAGGTTTGCAGCTGTTTGGTTCAAGGGAGGAGAGAATATCGTACCCGTATATGGTGGATGGTT